ACGTTATACACTATTGGGCACTATCATACGGACATTTTTCTACTAATCAGATGACGTCACAGTCATAGAAATGGGCAAGGGGCAAAAAAAACAGAGAGAGAGAGAGAAAGTGATGGAGAAAGTGCGAGAGGGGGAGAAAGATAGAGAGAAAGATAGAGAGACAGAGAGAGACAGAGAGAGACAGAGAGAGACAGAGAGAGACAGAGAGAGACAGAGACAGAAATGGCGAGAAAGATACAGAGATGGCGAGAGAGATACTGAGTTGGAGAGACAGAGAGACAGAGAGAGAGAGAGAGAGAGAATATAGAGACAGAGAGACAGAGAGAGAGAGGAGGGTTGGGGGAGGGGGTAGTAAGGGTAGCAGGGAGGGGTGGGAGTTGGTGGGCAGTGGTGGGCCCTCGAAATGAATGGTGGAAGCAGCTGATCAGATGTGTTCTAAAGACGGATGGATGGCGAGAGAGATAGTGAGATGGAGAGAGAGAGAGAGAGAGAGAGAGAGAGAGAGAGAGAGAGAGAGAGAGAGAGAGAGAGAGAGAGGAGGGTTGGGGACGGGGAGGTATCAAACTATCAGCCTAGTTGGTGTCAGAGATCCAGCCTCTTTCACGAGACGCACGTTCTGGAAAAAATCCAATTATCGGAATCCTCCCGTGTCCTGTTCGCAAATGGAGTAGTTCATGTTCCGAATCTGTACCCTTGTACTGAAAGGCCCTTCGTAAAGCGGCCATTACAACAAAGATCTCGAATCCCTGGTCATGACAAAGCCTGGACTGCAGAGATAGGACACGTAAGACGATAGATATGTAGCAAAAATGAGAGAGCATAATATATTCACTGCTTTTAATTGAACACACTGGTCAAAAAGATGAATAGATAGATAGATAGATAGATAGATTGATAGATAGATAGATACATACATACATACATAGATACATAGATACATAAATACATACATTCATACATACGTACATACATACATACATACGTACATACATACATACATACATACATACATACATACATACATACATACACACACACACACACATACATACATACATACATACATACATACATACATACATACATACATACATACAGAAAAACTCTAATACTTTCTTTATTATTCGGATACTATCGTTTCAAAGGAAAAGTCTTCGTCAAGCTGTACAACATCAAAGTCCAGATAATACGAAACATGATGATAATGAAATGATTAATTGAATCCAGAGGCCATTGTTATATGAGAAATGCAGGGTGCAATTTTCTGTATGGATTGTGTTTGCTTTGTTGCCTTAAGGGTCCTTTTTTGTTGTTTTGATGCATTAGGCCTGTGTGTTTTGCCTATAATCCATGACATTACAATTAATCCTGTGTAGCCACGGAATCTGTGATCTGGTCTATTGATTATTTGACATTATCATTAATGTTCCATGTTAGACGGTTGAATAGGAAAAAATGACACAAATGGCATGAAGTTGCGAGGAAGCGCAGTTATGACGATAGAAAATTGCATAATATTAAGGAAAGGGAGATGGAAAACAAATGGTTGGAAAAAGCAGAGAATTGAGATACACGGGAAAAGTGGTGCTGGAAGATTTGATACAGTGCAAATGAGAAATGGAAAAGTTGAAAAATATATGAAAAGAACGGAGGAGTGGGGGTGCAGAGAAAATTAGAAATGAACAAATTACCATAAACTGAAACACATACACACACAAACACACACACACACACACACACACACACACATACACACACACACACACATACACACACCAAAAAAAAAAAAAATCAACCTCCGCACACATTCTTCGTTTTTTTTGGGGGGGAAAACACTACGCAGCTCTGAGGTCGTACATTCTCCAAGACCCATGAAGTATTTTTAAAAACCAGAGCAAGCACGCTCTTTTCGGAAATAGATGTAAGAATACTGGACATTTTCCCTCGCCAATTGCCCCACAAAAACATGTCGATACGTTAGAAAAAAATCCGTTTTTACCGATCACACAGTTACACAGTTGAAAAATAAAACTATAAATAAACAAATAAATAAATAGATAAAATAAAGAAAGAAAGAAAATCCAACAACTCTTTAAAAAGACTTACAGTTTTCTTGTTCATGCATTAAATGAGTGACCAACACAACTGGCTAGCAAAAAAAAAATTAGTACCGTAATATCCGTTCAATGTATGTGGGCGCCTCAGACTGGCCTCGTACAGCTTTTTTTCTGATGTAGATCAATCAGGGGGCGGGGGCGGATGTCGTGTGTTTGTGTGTGTGTGTTTGTGTGTATTTGTGCGTGAGAGGAGAGAGAAAGAGAGAGAAAGAGAGAAAGAAAGAGAGGGGGAGGGAGAGGGGGA